TAGGACTGGGGTAAAAGTACAAATGGGACTTGATTATACTCAGTGTGACCGGGTTGGCCACAGAGCTGCTCCTCATCTCCATTTGTTTTTGGCAAGTAAATGAGTAAGTCAGCGACCACACCGACTGGAAACTCTCTCAGACAATAACATTAGAAAATTTTAGCTACACTTTTTCATGTCTTTGCTGATGACACACTTTTTCCATCCGTGACCCACAACCAGAGCAAAGCACAAGGTTTCTGCAACTTAAAACTCAGATATTTTAATACCACATACCATGGCACGTCACACTGGCCAAATTATCAATACCACCAGTGAAAACGAGTAGGGCGCATGCATGAATTTATTGACATTTTGTTAGGTCTTCCCAGCAGGATATAACTATGATCCCATATAATGTTTTTAAAGGTGCATTAACTCTTGTTGCAGCCAAGACCAAGACCAAGACCAGAGCAGTGCAGTTAAACTGAGGTTGATCGTCTGACAGCCTGTGTTTCAAAGGCACTATACAGGAGTGAAGGCGTTGAATATTTTCCCCTACAAAAACTCCCAATTTTTTAAAATTAAGTTTTGTAGTATAACCAGGGGAAGACCCTTGAATATGTGACACTATAAGAGTGAAGTTACTGATCACTGTTCATTTGATACACCAACACAGCTCCATATGAAGTATAACAAAGTCACTCGGGACACGTGTGAATGTGTGCACAAAAGAAATGTGTGTGTGTCTATGTACCAGAGCCCATATCAATGAAGGGGTAGTTGACCAGCACTAGTTTGTTGAAGTTGAACTTGTAGGTGAATCTCTTCCCTTTGGTCTTATGGAGGATCCTCTTGTTGTAGTAGTATCTAAAGAGAGCAGGGCAGAGAAAGCAATGAAATCAGTCAATAATACACAACTAAATGTGCCATTTAATATAATCAGCAACATGCAGGAAACCTCCGACCGTATCCACGTTTTGTCTTGATGAAAACAAAATATGAAACATGTTATGAACCTTTTTCCAGCTGAAATTATGGATTCAAATGTTTTTTCAACATACACCAAAAGTGAATCTCACAGTTGCATTACTGGTCAGTGATTATTCACAGTGCATCCACACATTATTTTCCTGTAAACTTGAATAAACTGTGACTGTTAGCTCGTATGTCGGCTGAGTTGGGTCAGTGGTCATCAACAGTCAAATCTGCACTTTCTTGCAGTCCCGCTCATGTGAAGTAATTACTGTGTGAGCAGTTTTGCACAGCATGGATGAAAAGATAATTAGAGCCTTTATGAGGTTTTCACCTCTTGAAACTAAGCTTTTATTTCAAGGACGTTGAACCAACAAAGGCTTTTATGTTTAACACCACTAAATTGATGTTTGCTAGTTAGCTAACCTGTATTAAAGCTGCAAAACTTATTACAAATCACAACATCAGACACTAAAATGTGGCTGTTCAAAGCTCTACCTGCATGGTAATTTTACATTACATAGCCCACAGTTAAAACAGGCTGATTACAATGTGAACACATGTTTAGATTCCAACTCACTGTGATTACTTAAGGAAGTGAGACGGCCGTTGTGACTTAGCCTTACTGAGGCGGTTCCATCAGTAAGAGTGCATTAGTCATCGTCAGTACACAGAGCAGCGTAGAGGACTAAATAGCAAGGTGCTGACAGCTCAACTAAATGCTGATAAAATGGCTCCCTGTGAGTCACAGATTACCTTAGGACCAAACCACATTCATATTTCTTTACATAAAAACTTCTAAATTGGTGTTTCTCATTCAACTGTGACTGGTCACTTCATTCTAGGAAATATAATAACGCCATTCACCATTTCCAGTAGAATCAAACAGAGAAAAGCAGGTTGGCAACATCTGTATTTTATACATATGGATTCACTTGAATACATAGATGAAAGCATGTCTCTTGTCATTGTTTTTTGTTGAAAATAAGTCTGTTGTTGTAAGCAAGTCTTAATTTCAGCTGGAGCAACAATTACTGATCAGTCCAGTTCTCTTTATACATTTAACAATTGTTCATTTTTAGCCACAAGTATAACAGCTGAAAAATTCCTGTTGTGCCAGTAATGACTTTGAAAAGTCTAAAACCTACACAATGCACCTTTTGCTTTCCACAAAGCACCAAAATGAGGGTGGAGCATCAAAGTGCGAGCCTAAAACAAACCATTACAGCCCTGGGAAATGATGAAGATTCTTACAGCACAGTGAAATGTTATTTTCCTAAAATCAGTCACACTAGTATTGAGAGTTAAAAAGACAAAAATCGTGGATGTATTAGTCATAATGATGAAGCTCTATCCCTGCTTCAGCAGTTTGGCAGAACAGAGAACAAAGTGGAGCAGAGGTGTGTGAACCAGAAGCTCATCAACGAGTCAGTGACTCAATGAGTGAGGAGCCTCTTCTGACAGAGACGACTACTACGTACACCCACACCTTCATATGTAACACAGGCACACAAATACATAAACACACTGAGTAGTGGACCAATACACAACAGGCTCAAACTTACAGTGTAGACAGAAACATAGGTAGTGAAGGAAACTAGAGAGCACACAAAACCACAAATTAAGAGCAATTATTAGAAAGCACACCGTGCTCACACGGAGGCATCAGGTCATTTCGATACACAAGGAAACTGAAATGAGTAGCCAATTAAAAGAAATTTAACTGGTGACTATTATGATCATCAGTTGAGTAAACTTTTACTCCTCTGATGTGAGGAGTTTGTTTTTTCTGATAACTGCAAACTGGCAAGTGAAGTGACTAACACAGATAATCTCGATACAATGGCACCCATGAAGGGTGGGATATATTAGGCAGCGAATGAACAGTCGGGTTTTGAAGTAGATGTGTTGGAAACAGGAAAAATGGGCAACACAAGGATCTGAGTGACTGCAACAAGAGTCAAATTGTGCTGACAAGACGACTGGGTCAGAGCATCTCTAAACCAGCAGGTCTTGTTGGAAACTCCTGGTGTGCAGTGGTAAGTACCTGCCAAGGTCCAAGGAAGGTGAACCGGTGACAGGGTCACTGGCACACAGAGCTCACTGATGCATCTGGATCTGGGGAATGAAGGCTAGCCTGTGTTGTCTGGTCTCACAGAAGAGCTACTGTAGTACAAGCTGCTGGAAAACTCAAAGCTGGTTCTGATCAACAGGTGTCAGAACACACAGGCTGATCAGAGTGCTCATGTTGACCCATGTCCACTGCTGAAACAGCCTACAATGGGCATGTGACCAACAGAACTGGACCCTGGAGCCATGGAAGAAGGTGGTCTGGTCTGATCAATCATGTTGACTGTTTAGCGGGGGTTTGAAAGATTACTTTTATTGACTCTTTACTTGTGGGGGTTTTATGGAACGTACAGTAATGACTTTGGGTTTCAACTTGAGCAACGATTTACTTCACCCAATGTGAGCAAGAATTGTGTGCACCGTAGAGCACTGAAGGAGTGTCCTGTCATTCATGTGCATGTTACTTTGACACACACCAATTACCTAAACACTGTTTAGAGCAAGTACACCCCTCCATGGCAACGGTATTCCCTAATGGCAGTGGCCTCACTCAGCAGGGTAATGCACCCTGCCACACTGCAAAAATGGTTCAGGAATGGTTCAAAGAGCACGAGTTCAAGGTCTTGACTTGGCCTCCAGACCTCAATCCTATAAAGCACCTGTGGGATGTGCTGGAAAAACAAGTCTGATCCATGGAGGCACCATGTCACAACTTGCAGGACTTAAGGAATCTGCTGCCGACGTCTTGGTGCCAGATAACAGAAACGCATTCAGACGTCTTGTGGAGTCAATGCCTCAAGGGGTCAGGCCTTTTTGGTGGCACATGGGGGGGACCTACACAATATTAGGTGGGTGATTTTAATGTTGTGGCTGATGGTGCATATGCAGTAAAAGCTGATGGGACATAATGTTCACAGGCGTGTGTACAGATGGATAGAATTCTGAGTCAGGAGAGAGACCAGGCACACAAATGTGAAAGGAACACGCATATACTCAAACAGTACTGAGTCAATATGTGAGAGCCAGACTCAGACACAGGGCCCAGTCTTGACCCAGGTCCATCTCTTTGATAACCATCTGAACCTCCTTCAAATGAACTGGAAACTTTGACTGTATATACTCAATCCCTGTGCACTGAACGCACACGTATGAGCACATGTGTGAGCCCTAACTCACTGGCGCACAGCCACGCGTCTCTACACACATGTTCTGTATATGCATGAATGGGCACACACGTGAACCAGTGCACACTCACTTCAAAAGCATCAGTCAGACTTCACATCTCACAGAGAGTGAACTTTCTTCTGAAGAACAGAATTAATTAACAGCCCCTCAGTTCACAGAAAAAGCTTCACAAACCACAGCAAAGACATTCACAACAAAGTCTGGCTCCAGCTGGTTCTTCTTGATGTAAAACCACAGAGACAGTAACTGACTGTTAATGAACTGTTAACCCTTTGTGGCCTCATGAATACAAGCTAGATTTAATTTGGACATGTGTGTTTTGGGTCCATATCTGTATATTTGTGACAAATTGGGCATGATCTGAACAACGGTGGATCACCAAACACCCCTCTTCTAGCTGCATTAAATAAAAACTGCATGATATGGCCACATAAAAGTAAAGAAACTTAACATTTCTTAAAATGACCCTATGCCAGCTAAAAGTAGAAGCATCCCAAATAAGGGATTAACAACTGTACATAACATAATATGTTTAAACCTTTGTTTGATGCTTATGAAATGACTAAAAGATTTTAACTGATGGAACTAATTGGTTAAACATAAAACAGGTCTAAAGATTTCAATGATCGATTCAGCCAGATGCCCTATATATACACACAATACATCTAAACCTTAGGGCATTAGTCAATTAATCAGTCATTCAATAGAAAAACTATCATGCATCCGTTTAGATAAATCGATGAATCTCTTCTAGGAAAAACAATGAAACAGTGCTTCTCAAATGAGAGGATTATTTCTGTGTATGTGGATTTTTGGTCGAACAAAACAAGACATCTGAAGACCATGTTCAGCGCTGTGAAGCTGTGATCAACATTATTGACAACATTTGGAGGGAAAAAAAGGCAAAGCAGTAGATTAATCAATAACGGAAATCATCATTAGATGATGCCTTTAATAGCTGTTGCATTGTTTCTCCCTTTTTAAAATGTGTCTATTGTATTAATTAAAAACATAAAAAATGCAGCAAAATATGGAGTCATCTGAGGTTATGTCCAAGACAAAAAGAAGTTTAAGCAACAACCGACACAGATGGGCTGGAGGAGGGCTGACATATAACAAGATGTTAAGCGAATGTGTGTATGTGTGTGACGAGGCAGTGTAACCAGTCATCACCATGGCAAACTATAACCCACACCAACCTACAACACAGGAGGTGACACTGATGACTAGCTGTGTGTGTTTTTGTGTACACTGAGATGAGAGAACAGGCTGGCAGCTAAATAAAGCTCTGCAGCATCCCACATGTGCTGCATAGAAGGTGAAGGTGTGTGTTTCTACTTCGGCTGTCACCCTGTAGCACGCGATGCAGACGCACAACTCATGACAAAACAACACTTCTTTTTTTTTGTCACACAGTCCACACCAATGTAATTCAGCTCTGAGCACAGTTTAATAAAGAAATAAGAAAAATAAGCTCAAACTAAAAAGTCAACAATGCACACCACCAATACTAATGAGGGCAATGAAGCTTAAATGAGCTGAAAATTATTCAACGTACAACAGCAACTTGGAAGAAGATGAGCATAAACTACCGTGTCTTCTTTATATCCTCTAAGTCTTTAACTCACTACTTTCACCCTCCTGATGTTTGTCAGCTTGTGTTATCTGATCTGGCACAGTGGTGCTGTTCCTAATTCAGTTTAAATCACGCCTATGTCATATATTTTTTGAATTATACAAAATGATGACACCCTTGTGAGTGGTGCAGGGTTTTCATTATTCCTGCTCAAATGTTTTGCACATGTACCTAAAAACTATAAATTCCATGTTTTGGTAGGTTTGCATTTGCCAAGGAAAATAAATTCTTGGTACACAATGTCAGAACCAGGAATTGTGTTCATAATTTAGTCTGTCATGTGAACGTCACATAATTTTACACTCAAGGAAATGGTGAACAACAGTGTTGCTCACTTGTTGATTGTAGAAAAATTACTAAGAATCTGAGAAGCACGTTATGCAACATGTGAAGAAAATGAATCATCATGACTCAAATTGAAATTATTGGAACTAAAATCAATTTGAATCAAGGCTCAGTGTCAATATCTCAGCCCTGACTCTGACCCCTTCAGTCATATAAATTTAAAACGTATGATGAGGAGGTGTCACCCTTTTCCTTCACCCTGTTTTCACCCACTTTAGCCTCACCTTAATGCTCGGCTGAGCTTGTCATAGTTCATCTGCGGTTTACACTTTCGGGCTCCCCACAAGCGAGCCACCTCATCTGGGTCCTTGATGACAAACTCCCCATAGTCTCCCTGCCAGGCAATGACGTCGTGGTACTCCTCTTTCCTCAGGAGCTCCAGGATGAAGTGCCACAGCTGGATCTGCCTGGAGCCCGGGCTCGACTCAGGTTTGTAGGCCCATTCAGGGAAGGCAAACCCTGGGGAAATGAGGAGAGAGGAGTGTTCAGGTGGATGATGAAGAATAGAGTGAACTGTAACAAACCTAAAGGCAATAAGAAAAGCTCAGGCACTTTAAACTCGCCTTGTGCCCCCCCCCCCTCAAGTGGTTGATGCTACAAGTGCAATAACCCATTATGCTTCTAAAATTTGCTAATTGTCTGTGTGACTGTTACTGTTGTGGTGCCAACAAAATAGGTGAAAACTGCTTGCATTTAGAGCTAATAATAGTAATAATCTTAATATGTGCATGGCAATTTTGTGGAGAATAAAAACTGCACTAATAAACAAAGTAGCAACCTGGCATCCATTTTCTGTGCATGAAGGTTGTTTGAGTCGAAGGAGATTAACATTAGGCAGAAAAGTGTGAAAAGAGCTTCAAATTTTTGAAAAAACAGAAAACCGGCAGCTGAGGTTTTGTGAAAGGGTACAAGACATGAAAGCAGTGGGAACTGCAACTATAAAGCTTAGCATGATAACGTTGCAACATGCAAGATGTTTCTTCTGCTGGTGAAATAGGTCTAGTGGTGTCAGAGAAGCTGGTGATGAGCGGCTAAATCTGTTCCCACAGACGCTCACGGTATAGTCGTATCAAAACCTCACCACTATCAGCATCAAAGCTGGAAAATCAGCACTGTTATAACAGATTATCAGGCCTTGAGATATGTGCAGACCAAATATAAGCTATGGTTTTATAATTACTATCAGAACACGCACGCTATTGTCCAACAGATAGAAGTATAGGCTTTGTGTTGTAAAGCAGTGGGTGGCAAGTAAAAGACTCAACACTATTTTAACACAAGGCCATGCTGAAAGGCTCTAAGACACACACACATACACCTCATTAGGACCAGATGTGTCCTGGCAATCAGGCTGAGAAAGCTGAGGGTGGGAAAGGCAGGCACAATACAGCAATCCTGAATTTTGTAGGTGTGTGTGTGTCTACATAAGTGTAAAGAAACACCGTATCCTAAATACCAAGGTTACAGTCAGGTTCCCACACTCTACAAAGCCTGTCATATCTATAGAGCAGTGACAGTGAACTGTTAACAATAACACGGTGAAGGCTGACAGACCAACACTGGTGTGATATGTCCTACTGACCCCACGACAGTCATACTCTGTGACCATGTTCTCGAAACACCCTCTAGCAGGACAGCGGCCCTCGAGGACTGGAATTGGCCACCCCTGCTCTAAAGTATCTGTGTCTGTAAACAACAAACTAACATATTAAACAGGAAAATGTTTATTTTTTTCAGCACTTTATTGCTTAGTCAACATCTGATAGGAAACTGCCTAAGGGAAGCAGCATAAACACAGACATGACCAAATTAAAAAAAGGTAAAAACAGAAAAAAGATGGGGGGTGGGGGGTATAGAGATACCACATCCTGGTCCATTTTCACTTAATTTATCAGACACTGGAAAATTTTTGTTCATGAATGTTGATCTCTTCATAACCTCTCAATCATCTTGGGTCTACCTCTACCTCACACCTGCACTCATCTCACTGATGTCGTCCCACAAACAAAGTAAACAACCCCAAAATGGCAGTAGTCCTTTTAAAATTATACAGCGTACCCAATATTTACTTTTTAATGCATGTAAATGAAGTTTTATTTTTTTTTTTTTTTTTAAATCAGAAGCAGACCACTGGCACCAATCAGAAGCAGACCACTGGCACCAAGTCATTTTGCTGCACCAGTGTTTGTAGCCGTGTTGAATGCTCAGTGACTGGATCAGTTAAACAAGCAACAATAAATTGAAACAGATTGTGCTGGAGCCTTTTTGTGAAGCCGAGTGGACAACAAACTTCAAGGTGAGTCACAGCAATCCTACTCACACGGGTAGTTCCGTCTCAAAAATGAGGAATACTTTGAATTGCATAACTAATAGCTGACTTTGCAAATATCAATTGCAATGAACCGATAGCTCTGACCAGATTGTAAACGGACATGCATTTCCCCTAATCCAGATAGAGTGAGTCATGCAAAAACTACCACAAATTTGAAATGCAAATCTCTTTAATCCATAGTAGTAGCAGTAGCAGGAGTTGTAGTGGCAACACAAGACTGACTAAAAGCGGGAAAGTCTTACCACAACAAATGACAATATGTAAACTAAGGCCTGTGAGAAGAACACTCACACAGACAGAAAGAGCAATAAAAATGCACTTGCAAATACAAAGTGTACAATATAGTGTGTCCACAACACCACAAAAGGTCAAGTGATTAACAAAAGGCAAAAGTGGAAGTGCACTTCTGTTGATTTTTTTTGTATGAAAACCACAGTGTCACTGGACTTTAAACTTAGGAACCAAACTAACTCCAGCGTTGTGATGAACGTCCGGCTAAATAATGGACACACACAAGTTGAGCAACTGCAATCTGCTTTCCTCGCTAGGACAGATTTAAGAGCTTCAAGCTGTGATGTTTTGGCGTCGACCAGACACACCACATTTTGCAGAAATTCTGTTGGGGCAGAGTTTTTTCACCATTCTCTCTTTTCTCAGCTTTGATTTGTTAAAATTCCCCAACTAAAGGAATATTTTTTTCTGTCTATTGCAATTTGTGGAAATATTTTATGGATAGTCACATATTTAAGGGCTGAATTCATGAAACTGAAGCATCACAAAATGGTACTGGAAACATTGACTGCTTCTAAACTGACTGAGCAAAAGTAGCTAAATATGTGTTTTAGATGTATTTTAACATGTTGTACTTCCTTTAGAAACAAGTGTTTAAGCGCTGGCAAATGTACATCATGTCTTCAAATGAGTGTGCTTGTTGACACGATGGGACGTCTGTGTATCTGAAATGATAAATGTGATGTGTTTTTAAGAGCTTCTATGACCACAGGAACTGACCAGAAGCAGACATCCATAGCACATCATTTAAACTACAAGAAAGTGATGTGCAATGCCCACTCTTCAAATCTTGCAAATATAGCAGTGCTTAAAACAGTTTCGCAGCCTATAGTGCTTCTTTCTCTGAAGGCGGCAGCTAACATACATACACACACAAAAAAAATCTCACAAAAGGCATCTTAAGGCAGATTAAAAATACCGTGGATAATAGACCCACTCCTGATGACTAATAAACCACATGTTGCTATCTGATGTCCTATGGTGCATGGAGAGTGAGCCAAAAGACAGTCAGGCTGGCTGTGAAAGCTGATAATAGTCATTTGAAGGCAGATTACTAATGGGGTACAAGCATATGATTCATACACCAGACAATAAGGCTCTTGTCACTGGGGACAGGTTAGGCGTTGTGACACAGACAACGCACTGCTATCTGATGGGATACACTGGTGACTGCCACAGAAAAATACACGTGGACATGCGGTGCTTTTCCACACACCCATGTGCACAGACACGTGCTGATGCATACGATGCGCAGCAGGAGTGCATTAAATCAAAGTGGGCGAGCTAATATCCCTCTCACACACACAACACAGGTTAGCGGGGGGAGGTAAGTGGGTTCATGCGTGGGAGCACAGAGCACACAGACAAAGAACACAGGAATAGCAACCATGCCCACCGCATGTGTGTGTGCTGCAGATGTCCCTGCTGACTCATAGCTTGTTCGTTTGTCGTTCAGCGTTCACAGATTCCGCCTTTCTCCCCCTCAACACCACTGCCATCTCTTTCTTTCGTTTTTCTTCTATCATGTTGTCCCTCCCTCGCTCAGCCTCTCCTACGACACAGTCTCCTAGCAACAAAAGCTTTTAGCTCTAAAAATAAATGGCCAAGTCACGACTAACAAGGCAAAATATGATTCAATTACAGAAACTTGCCAAAAGAGTTTAGAGTTTGGGCACAGATCCAGAGCTACAGTGTTGGGTTGTGATCTGTCTAAGGCTGCTTGACCAGTGGAGACATCTCGCTACAGCGCTGGCTTCGCTGTCGCACTGTAAACCCTCTTACACTGCCCGTTTCAAGGCGGGATTACTGTGCCAATTTTCCACCGTGCCGTTCTGTATAAGGTACTGGGGGGAGTGTTGACCCTGCTTTATTGCACGAGAGGTAGTAAAATTGGCATAACCGCTCCACCTCAGCCTCTGTGCAAAAGGGAAGAGGCAGCTTACGCCAACAGAGCAGAATCTCTGTCTAAAAGAGGCGTGTGTTTACAGTGTGTTGTCTTGTCCAGAAGCCCAGACAGACCAAGTTCTGAGTTCAAGTTTTAATTATCATACTTCAATTACAATTTGCTTTTGGAGACAGACAAAACCCATTTCCTCACATTCAGTGTCTCTTTTGAAATGATTCACCTTGATTCAGAAAGCCCGACAACACAGCTGATGGTGTGCCATTCTGACAAATGCGCAGCTGAGAATCCAGGTGGAGGTACATCTGTAACAGCTGGTGGTTAATGTAATGTGAGTAAAATCAGATATTAACAAATATATGGTGGTGACAGACAGCAAAAGAGAGTGGGAGAAGGACAAGGATAGCAAAGTAACAGGAAAACTAAAGAAGAAGAATTCTGTGGTCTCACTAGAAGAATCCTACAATGTTTGGCAATCTCAGCCTCAATTTTACAATATGCTTACATGGCAAGTAACTCACTGCCTACTGCCAATATTCTTGCACAAACTAATACAAGTTGTCCACATTTCCCTTTCGGTAAAGGTAACAAATGTTCGCCCATTTCTGACATGGAATCTGACATGTATCTGTAGGTACAAGCTACATAAATCTCCTTTAAGGAAAAGACCCTACTGACTGTGATTATTCACGACATGACTGTTATTAATACAGTTCCTAACCATCATAACCGTAACATCATATCCATAAAAGCCTGTCACAATATTGTGCATGTGCCTTGAGTGGCAGTACAATTGTTTTTATTACACTTGTGCTGTATAGACGGTGTTATAAAAGTGTCACCGGGTAGTAAACAGGCAGTTTTCCTTAGCAACATTTGAAGGAAAATGACTTGGGAGTCTTTTCATACATTATGCCAACATGTAAAACTGGC